ACCAAATTCCAAAATTGCAAAAGCTGTCAATTTTAAGTTTTTCATTTTTGATTTCCTTATCGCCTACGAAATTTTTCACTTTGCAAAAATGGCACACAAATCATAACGGATGTGGCAGTCTATCTAACACGTTTAAACTAACCAAAGGGGACATTTCACGAAGCAGTTATTTTTCAAAATGAATTATTGTCAATAAATGTTTCGTTAAATTTTTTTGACTCAAAAATATGTAAATATTTATATATAAAATCAAGCCTTATTTATGTTATTTTCAAACAAGATTTAAATCTAAGATCAATTAGCTATTTTAAAGCTGAAAATACTTTGTCAAATAATAACTGCTTTGTGTTATGTTCTCTGGCGTCTTTGCTTCATATGCATTATTAAATTCCCTAAGTATTATTCGGTTTTTGGTCTTATTAGAATTTGTACTAATCTCTTTTTAAAACGGATCCTTAACCGACTTGCAGGTCGCCGAGTGGATGGGAAGACGCGATGCCTGGTCCGCGGAGAAACCTCCCGATAACCGAACGAAGCCCACCCGCTGGGAGTTCCACGATGGACGTGAGCAGCTTGACGAAGACGTAGGAAGGGGCCAGGACATCGGCGAGGGGCGTCACATCCAATCGGCCGAGGAGCAGCAGCGACGTGTTCGCATCAAGTAAGACATTAGGTCGGGATTCTGAAGAAAACAAAGTTAACTTTAGCTGACTTCCCAGGAATAACCGCACAGCCAAAGACGATCTTCATCTTAATTTCCATAACTCTAGGACTAATCTGATCAACGACCGCGACGTGTACATGGAGGATGTGATTGAGAACCGGGATCTGGCGGAGGACAGGGAGCACATCACCCGGACCCGGGTGAATCGGCAGGAGTACGCCCGGAGGAAGCAGTACGACTCGGATGTCCGGCACATCGACGATGACTCCATGCGAAGGCATGAGATTGATCGAGGCAGCGACATCGACTTCAACACCGCGCACAACAGCCTGAAAAGCAAACGGGAGCTGTTCATTAAGGACGGAAATGTGGAGATCCTGCAGCTGATGACCAGGGACAAGACTAGGGATGGCTTGAATCTGGACGATGACAATATCTACGTGAATGTCCCCCTGAAACCGGCGGGCAATCTCTCCCACCCGCAGCTTCTGATGGTGGATAACTCTGGCAAGGAGATCCTGATGCGCAGGTTCATCGAAGAGCAGCCGGACGGCAAGCAGATCATCAGGGAGCACTACCAGATAGTTCCAGGAGCCACATACATCCAATCGATGCCCAACGAGGTGCAGCAGGGATCGACGCTGAAGGGGGACACCTTTCCGTTGGGAAAATCGGGACCAAATAGCATAGTTTACTCCCAACTGGAGCCGGAGGTGAAGGTCATTCACACTCAGCCGGTGCAGGCAGGTGAAGGCGTCTCCTTGGAGCAGCAGATGCAGCCAGCGGTTTCCAATCAATCGCTCACCCACGAACTGGAACACTCTCTCAAGCAGCAGAATGCATTGCTCAGGCAGATTCTAATGGAGAAGGAAAAGCTGGAGAGTGCATACACGCAGCATGAAGTGGCCCTGGAAACACAGAGTCTTCCCGGTCAGTCTATGGCCATTGGAACTCAGACGGATTGTGATGCAGGCACCCAGACAGAGGGACTGGATGGCGCCTTGGATGCAGAGATTACCCAGGCGAAGCCCTCACGTCGAAGAGCCCGCAGCGAAAACGATGAGTCCATGTCGGAGGATGGATACGAGTACGTGCGCTTCAATCCGCCAAATAGTCCCGAGGGAGTCTACTGGATCAAGCGACGGCGGACGAAGAAACGGCCCAGGCAACCCCGTAAGCGGATCGTGATGGTCGAGGAGGTGAAGCGCAAGATCCGGACGCCAATCAAGGAGGAGGAAGAAATCCAGGAGAGGAAGAAGCGCGTGCCACCCAAGAAACCGCTGCGGGAGACCAAAACGAGTATCCTGCGCAAGCAGTTAAGTGACGAAAGCCGCAAGGACCAATCCCGAAACGGGGAAAGCCAAACAGGCAATCGCCACAGGTCCGAATCGGATGCCAGAAACCGTGAGTTCCCCATGGAGGTAACCGACTCCATGGATGAACTAGCCAGTCCGGGATCGCACAGCATCCGAAAGATACAGGTGGAGAAGTACTACAAGCACTCGGATGCCGATTTCGACGAGGACGACACCGAGTACTCAATCGATTCGGATGGCGACGAGATCGTGATCAGAACCAATTACCCCAGTCGGAGCCAGGAGACCGAAAGGTACCGCAGGGAAGAGAGGACCTACGTAGAGCCGGAGGAAGCAGCGGGTCGAAGAAGGTCTCCGAGGAAGTCTTCGCCAACGGAATCTCAGCCAGAAGCTATGCCGCGACTGTCAAGGCGCGATAGCTCTAAAAGGACTTCCAGGAAGCAAACGTCCTCCGAACCCCCGCACAACCGAGTATCCATCTCCAAGTATGAGTCTACGGTCACCGAAAACGGCAGGAAGCTGATGTCCACCTCCACGGAAATAGTGGGCTCCAAGCGTTCCCTAACCGATCGTAGTTATCAGAGTGAAACGGATCTAGGTGGTCCCGAGCCGGAAGAACGCAATGTGCCGAAGTACATGGAGTGGTACTACAACAAGAAGAAGGCGTCCGTAAGTGGACGCACCTCCACGGAGTCATCCAAGTCCCAGCCATCCAGCAAAAAGAAGGTGGGAGCAGCGGAGAAGCGGGTTTCGAAAACCAGGATCACAGTTCATCCCAAAGAGTTCGAGGACGATGAGGAGATTAATGGCAGATACAAGCCAGAGCCTGCGCCCCGGAAATCGCCTCCGAAGGGAAGTCGCATGCTGAAGGAGGACCGGGCTCTGAACAAGCAGCACAAACCAAAAATCGAGACTGACACGAATCATCCACTCCTCCAGCACTCGGAGCACCGTTTCGAAAGGGAGAACGCTCTGGAGGTGCCGACTGCACCCACCAAACTGCCCCACTACATGTACCCAGAGACTCCGCCACGGGCGGCTGCCGCCAACAAGGAGACCAAGTCCACCAAGGAGCCCAGACCCAAGCCATCACCCATCCGGGAAAACGAAGTCAAAGTGTCCAACTCAAAGATTTACGTGGAGAATCGGGGAGCGGGGCCTCCCACGCAGAAACAGCTGAATGCCTCGACTCTGGAGGATGATCACGATTCCGGAATAGCCATGAACTCACTGCTCAATAGCCTGGGACGTAGGAATCCCATTGCCGAGAAGAAGAGCGTCTTCTCCATCGCCTACGACGATGTCAGCCGAGTGAAGAAGATCAACTCGGGGGGCGAGTCGCCGCAGTACTCGTAGGATCGTACGATCCATTCCAAACCCTGCAAAGGAACAATCATATGTGATAGCCTCAAAGGCTCCCTACCTGCGAATCATCGAACCAACCAACACTATCTGCAATACTGTATAATATACACCAAAAGCCAGCATGTTACCCATTCGTAGTCTACGGGATGTTGAGAAATGTTCAACTCGTTTCCGTGCACCGAAAGTACGTTAGGACCCGGATCGGTTAGCCACTTTCATTTTACACTTAAGCCGACAGATGTAGTTCAAAGTTTTATATTTAATGTTATAATTAGAAGTGTGGTATGGAACGGACGTTCAGAAAGGTTACTACTTCTCTAATCTACGAGTCCCGGTCACCCGATTTATTCAGACGATATTTGCCAGAACTTGGGGCCATGCCGCCAACGTATTCAACTCTTTCCTATATTCATAATGTACTGGACTTTGCATGACCAAAATTGTTAAGATTATTTATATTGGATAATGTTTAATGGATCTTTGTACATGTACATACATTTGTAGTTATATCCCACAAGTCATTACCAAGTGCTTTCCTACCACAAAACTTGTGCAGATGTGTATGTACGTAAGCTAATGTATACTATGCAGTCGAATAAACAAATGCCTGCCATATTTAAATCACTTGCAAATATAATCTAATAAATCAGAAGCAAGTTTTTGTAAATACTTTAAAGATAAGCCTATGCAAATAAATCAAATTAATCCCAAATATGTTTTTTTCATTTTGGTCATGAGTATGGGAACATAAAATCCGAAGAATGAAAAAGGTTCTTCAAAATTTCCTACAAATAAATTTGCCTGGTGACGCAATTCTAAATCTATAAATCGAGAATGGTTGCGTTATCTGCAAAAAAAAACTCTTTTAAAAGAAGATTACACGTAAACGAAGACCTAAAACTAAGCAGTCATTTATTCATTTTTCCTACGTATTGGCAGTTGTTGGCTTCAAAACAACAAACAAACCTCTAGGGTTAATTTTAACGTGTTTTTATTCTTCACGCTCCATTCAACTTCTCACCCCAACTCGTTAAGTGTGTGTATAAGAGCTCAAAAGTCGAGAGGAGAGGAAGTGCGTACAGCATTCACGCTTCTCATATTAAGTACTTCTTTGCGAAGGCCAGGAAAACAAAGAAAGAAAAAAATACGTCTGAATCTTTGCCCACGTTGGAAGCCTCTTCTACTGGTTCGAACAAAGATTGTATTAGAGTTATACGTAAGAAGTATTACCTCAAACCACTAGGTGTTTATATGACCAAATTTATTCTAAATCAGCAAAAACTTTAACAATCATTATTTTTAAATAAATATGTTTTTTTTTTATATATACAAACAGTCCAAAAGAGCATAAAAATACTAATTCTAAATCAGCTCAAACTTCAATCATCTTTATTTTTAATTAAAGATATTTTTTGATATATTTATTTACCCTTTTGACCAAAATTCATGAGTATTTCGAAATCACACTCACAAATTTTAACAACTAAAACTAAAAGTTCTTTACAATTTATAATTTTATAATTATGAAAAATTAAACATTTTAAAAAACAACAAATTAAAAAAAAGACTTTAATTAATGTTATAATGGAAAATTAAATTTATTTCATAATTATTTTCAAATAATACCACTGTACGACGTCGAACATGTATGACAGAGAAGTTTTCGAACCGAACTGGGACGCTAAATAAACTCACTCTCTTTGGGTTTAGTAAAACAAACTTTGTCGACAAAAGCGGTTGCTGTGAGTTGATTGACTCTTCTTAGTGAAGCGTAAAATTCTGAATAGTTCTTTATTTAATTGCAGATACTCGAAATTGTAATTTCACCAAGGCATCTATAGAAAAAGAACAAGAAGATGTGCAAGTGCCTAGCCGGAAACGTAGCCTGTTGGTAAGTTCTATAAATTAAATAAGCATCATAAATACATATATGGTATCTTGGAAACTGTAAATAAGCAAGATATTCAAGTATACAGAATCATTTACGTATTTTTGTAGAGTACCATTTATAAAACGGGGGGAAATGGCTCAAGAAATATAAATAGATTGGGGATTTGTGAGTAAGTCAGCGAGTAAGATAAGAAAGTGTGCAACCACCTGATAACTTAGGTTTCCTCATATTTACATACATATATGTTTGAATCCTATAAACAGTCCTATAAATAATGCCCAGTACTTGTACTATTTATATACTAAGAGGGCGCGTAAAGAGAGCAATGTAATTTTAAAGCGGAAGCAGAATTCAGAGAAAACTGGAAATCGTCTGTGCAAATTCTCACTTGCAACTCTTATACATGTCGGTTTGCCCTCACACAGGTTTCCATATCACAAATGAAAACAATGAAAGCAGGTAAACAAACCGCATGAGAGTCCGAACTCAGATCCATTCTACCTGGAAGTATTTCCACTTTCGTTGGTGTATCATCCCATACATACAACTGGCAGAATAAATTACTTAATTGTCTATGGTATCATACGCATATTTGCTGTGAAAAATATACGTACATGGCATGCAACATGGTATCCACAGAAGACTACTTATTATTATTCCAGCTCACGCTTCCCTAAGGCACTTATTTAAGTGTATGCATATATGTACATACATATATACATTCATATTCGCGCACAGTGACCACAATTGAAAAATTCCATATCTGCGTATATATTAGATACAAACAAAAAATGTGGTCATGTCTAGTAGAATTTCGAACTACAGTGGCACTATGCGACGCATTAGTTTCTATATGTACCATCTGGCTCCAGAAAGTCCTGGCTCCATCGAGGCGCGACGGAATTATTCCCTTAATACATATCTACCCCCAGGAATCTCCCCGCCCCAGTGGTTTGGCCAACAACCGGCAGCTTGTCGCCGGTTTCGCATTTCCGTAGGAATGCCAGCTCTTGGCCCTCGAAACGTAGTTGTACCTCTCTGCTGGGGTGGAAATTTAATCTACGAATGTTATTTGGGGTGCAATTTTATTAGACACAACTTTTCATGCGTAATTAATTCGGAAGGATTGCATCATTTTATATTTTGTTAGAAGACTTTTTTTCAACTATCGAGGCTAATAATGGCTAACTATGGTTATGGTTATGACCACTTAAAAATTATTTTAATATTTACTACAAAACAACACAAAGAAAACATATAAACACATTTTGAATATTTAGTCCAACATAAAGCAAACACATGCTTTGCGATTTATAAACGACATGCTTTTGGTGATCTCATTTGATGAAATAATATATATATATAATAATATATATAATAAATCATAGCTCTAAAATGTGTCAATAAATAATTTATATACTCAATTTAATTTTAGTTACGAATTATTATCTTTTCAGCTGCTTCAACTGTGCGCTTAGTGTGCTCATTTCAGTCATCAGTACATTTCTGGTGGTCATCATTGTAGTCGGATTGGCCGTCTACTTTATTTACTACTACGAAAAGGAGGATGATGTTACCAAGCTCACAAATAAAGTTACCGATAACTTCCAGTCAGGATTGGATAAAATCAAGGATGCCCTAAGCAAATAAAATTAAGAACGGATGGTAAAAACGAAATCTGCATAAAAAATTTGTCTAAGACTGTAAAAAAATTTACTTTCAGATAAGTTTACATAAAAATATGTTCCAAGCTTTGCATAATTCCATTGAACCAGATTAATTGCCACCAATTTACACAATCAAACACCGCCGGAGCCTTTTAGAGGAAGATAATTGTTAAACTTTTTCAGTAACGGTACAAATAATTATTACACCCTCTAAATATTATTGAGAATCTCCCACGTACAGAAAGTTTCAATACAAAACAATTTTATAATTATATATTTATGATGTCTAAATAAAAATTACTTTCTAAAAAAATGTTTTACAATAAAAATAAAAAAGGGAGAAACGTAGGCCTTAAACAAATATTTTATTAGATTGTTCCTATTACAGCTAACCTCTGCAGTTATTTTTAATATCAATGAAGTTAATCAAATATATTTCGGTATTTGATGAAATTTTAAATCATATTTCAATTAATACAATTAGATGAAGAGTTAAAAAAAAATTACTTCTGCCTAAGCTGACGGGGCATACAAACAAAATTGAAACACCATCCTTATTTCCCATCAGATCGAAATGTCCAAAGTTGAATTATTTTCATTTTAAGCCCTGGCAGATTAAAAAATTATCGTCTGGTCAGCCGCGTTTTTGTAGATGTTTGATAATGTTTAAAACCCCCTGAACCTAAAATGACCGAATAAAGATGTGCACTAATGATGCCTATCCACAACTTTTATGTTATGATTCGTCAATGTCTTCTTCTTCACGTAACAAACATTTTTTCAACAATATATCAAGTCCTGGTTTTAAATAAAATATTTCAAGCTAATTCCACTTTTCACTTTAAATCGTTTAACTCGAAATCGATTTGCGTTCACAATTTGAATGACTTACATGATTTTAGTTCATTTAGATTACTTCCCAATTCATCAAAATAATGGATGAAAGATTTAATAATAACTCTGAATATTTATTTTTCGCATTTTAAGATACACCGAAAATTAAATTGCAACTACCAAGTAATAGTTTTTGCAGAGCAGTCCTGTATAAGCATTTTCAGAAAACAAAGAATTAGAAAAACTAGCTTATTAAAATAAATAATAGCAACTTTAAAATGCTTTTACAAAAAAAGCACGGGCGATTGGAAAATTATTAATTCCTTATATTTTTTATAAACAACATATTTATTAACTATTACAAATATGAACTTTTCGTACTAGTTATAGTAAAAACCTCTACTGCTAAACTCAAGCAAAAATTGTGTAAACAACCAAACGGAAGTCTTTCAATAGAGTAAAAAAGTTACTGATAAGAATATTATTTGACCTCTGCATAACAAAATTCCCACAGAGCCGGGCCAAATGTATAAATCTAAGTATCCAATACACTTTCACGTGGGCCCTGCAATCCGAAAACAGTCCCTCCGCCCAGCGAGCAATGTCCAATAAAATCGATATATTCAGAACCATTTTGAAGCCATCGACTCGATGAACTTCTACCAGGCTCCCATAAAGTACAGAAGTGCTGCCAATCGTTCGACAACTTCGATTGGATCCAAATCAGCCCCTTCATCGCTCCGAAATGGAAACCCAACACGACGGGGGAGTGGGAAGTTCAACATGGTGGAGCGTTGGAAACCCACCATGCAGGGGAAATGGGAGCTCATCACAAAGGACTGACACCATTTTTTGGCCGTCTGGTAACGCCCAAAATAAAACGGTCAGATATACATATATGGGAAGGATATAAAATGACAAAGAAATACAATACTTTGCTTTGGAGTTTTATGCCCTTTAACTTAACAAACATTTTTAAATTAAGAGTGTGACCGACTGCATGGAATTGAATAATACGGAATCACAATAACGCCTTAAAGTCATACAAATAAGGAATAAAGAAAAACCCTCAGTAGTACTGCTTTAAAAAAAAATAAAAACAATCCTAGGTGGATGGAATGTGAGATGGCTTTTAATGACGACTACGAGCACCCAGATAGTCTAGAATATATACTCGAATCTGTTTTGATGCCAAACGATGATAGTTTAGAATTTAAACATTTGGCGGAAGAATACAATTCTGTTCTTCTTAACCAATGTTCCTGCCATGGAGACTGCGAAAAAAGCGAGATCTGTCCACATGGAAGTCAATACGAAAACGCAACGGTGGGCAGGGAACTGCTTCTTAAGAAATTCTCAAAGCCCGTCGTCGAATGCAATGATCTTTGCAAGTGCAGTAAAAACACCTGCTCCAATCGCCTTGTGCAGTATGGACCAAGGAAAAATCTGGAAATATTTGATTCTCCCGTATACGGATCCAAAGGACTCCGCACTAAGGAAAAAATTCTACGCGGCGCTTTCATTTGTGAATATGCCGGAGAACTTTTGACCACATCCGAGGCCACAAGACGCTTGAAGATTAATGAAGAACTTGGCTGCATGAACTATGTCCTGGTTCTAAATGAATACACCAGCGAACAGAAGCAACAGGTGACCATTGTGGATCCTTCTAGGCGTGGTAACATAGGACGCTACCTAAACCATAGCTGTGAGCCAAACTGTCAAATAGCAGCTGTACGAATAGACTGTCCCTTGCCGAAAATAGGTGAGTTTTATTGCTAGTTGTACTCCGATTCCTGGAGTTAACGAATCTTTATGCCTAGGTATTTTTGCAGCACGAGATATTCCGGCCTGGGAGGAGTTGTGCTTTCATTACGGCGGAGAGGGGCAGTACAAAAAGGTAAATGACGGAAAGACTTGCCTCTGCGCTGCTGCAACTTGCACGGGATTCATGCCGAACACTGAAATCGGGGAGTAAATAAATTAACTAATGCTTATGTTGAATAAGTCAATGTAGATACTTGCCAATCAGAGTTTATTTAGCACTTGGTTTTCCAGAGGCGGCAGTTTTTCCTGTATCCATTGCTCAAGATCCTTAAGTGAGGCGGTTTTTAGTTCGTGCAGGGTGTTTCTAAGTGGGTGGAAAGTGCCCTTGACGCCTAGTTTTTTAAGTGCTTCGAAGGTCTCCAGGCCCCAATCTTTTGGTACTAGAGTATCCCGTTCTCCGTGGAACATTCGCAGCTCCGGCAATTCAGTAGCTTTACTACTCTCCAGGGAATCGTAGACAACAGAACCGCGATTCAGGAACGAGGAGTGCGCAAATACACCTGCCAGACTGGGCCTCAAGTGGTATGCCGTGTGCAGGGCCACGGCTCCGCCCATGGAGAACCCGCCCACGATGATCCTGCCCAGCGGAATTCCACTGGCCACCTCCTCGTCGATTAGCTGGTTAACCGCATCGTAGCACTGTGACAAGCTTTTCTTGTTCTCCGGCGCGGCAATGTTCACGGACCTGCGGTCAAACCAGACGTTAAATAGTTCCCCGTCCAGCGGGGTGTACTTCTGCAGCGGAGCCGTCGGATAAAGGATTTTTATGTGCGGGTATTCTAGGTCGCGTCCGAGGAGGAAGCGCACCCATTCCAGAACATTGGGACCGGTGTCGCCGGATCCGTGAAAAAAGATCACGGAGGCGGTGTGTTTCCCTGTGGCATTTACCGTCTTCAAGGCCAGATTCATATTTAGTTAACCTTTGGTTGATAATTAATTGCACGATAGAAGGAAAATCAAAGGGCAGGAGTGTGACCAGCTTTAAAAATTCAAATAAAACACATGTGTTATCAGCAGCTGGCAACAATTTTGATTTCCATTTCTTTCCTTTTTTTGTCTGTTGTACTTATTCAGCCGTCAATAAATGCCCTTTTAAACCTTGAGTATGTTTTATTTATTGTTTTATTTTCTCAAATTTCTTTTATAAAATTATTTTGTACTATTTGCTTGTAAACAAACCCAGCTGACTTAGAAGTGTGACCGTATTTTAGGTATTATAAGAAGACTGACCAAAATCTAGTTAAACTATACCGCCAGATAAAATTTAAAAAACAAACCTAAAAACTAAATAATATTAGTTTTAGATTATTTTAATGAAGTTCTTAAATTTTGAATCTAAACTTTTGACCATCCGGTAACTCCTCAATTCACAGATGTTCACAGATGCGTTTTCCAACACTCGTCCGTTTACCTCAAAGAGGAAGAGGATAAAAAAATCGGAGTGGCAAGTGAAGTGGCAAAATAAATAAATAAAGTTGTGAGTAGCCGAAATAAACCATAAAATCTATAAACAAAACAATGAAAATCAAGTGCCTTACATTAAAATACATTTTGTATGTACCAACACACCTTTTATTTACTAGAGGCAGTGAATTTAACTTCTAGTGAAAACTTCAATGAAACAAAGGGAGAAATTTACGGTTTATATACGTGTTTATATACAGCCTCTGTGAAAACGAATTGAGCTGTCGAGATCCCTGGTGATTGCAGTAATCTCTTACAACTAAGTTTATTAATTAATCACAATGGCCTTCCTTGCGTTCCATTTTCATGGCCTCCATCAGCTGTTTGGCACATGGCAGTGCGTGTGTGTATGTAAATAGTAAATAGAGTGCGTGGGAGGGGGACAGGGAGTGGAATGTGAGTAATATTTGTTTATGTGGAAGCAAAGTTCAACGGTACCTCCACACACACACTCCCACCAGTCGTGCTGATTACGCTATTTGTTTTCACCTACACAAATCCGTCCGAATATGTGAATGTGTATAAGGTTTTGCCTCCTCACCATGATTCGGCACTAATTTGCCCAGTTTTTGCCTTTATCATTAATTTACCAACAAACCCAGCGTAATTTTACGCGGAAATTTTAAAACCCCTTTTTGATAAACGATAGTTCAATACTACCGCAGCTGGAGATTCTTAAGTGCGTGTAATTCAATGGATTACAGAAATTAGATTGCTAGGGGAAGCCCCTTTATACGCTGAAAAGCTGATTGAGATAAAACAAAGGAAAGAGAAGGTACTTCATAGTCGCCGAATATTCCCAATTTCTGCCACCTCAAGATCAATGTAATTTTCATTTTATAGTGTAATATTTCTGATAATAGTATTATTAATGTACATATATACATAAGATAATAATTTTCTGAGTTTAAAAAATATGTGGTTTTTTGTCAGTTTTGGGAAAGTAAAGTCATGACATGATTCTTAGATATTTATTGCCATGATTCGATTGCTTGGTAACAGTGATTAATCAGATATACCAATGCCATACATACAAATTTGAAGGTTTATAGGTTTCACTTACTTAAAAAAATGAATCGATTGAGTATTAGAGACAAACATAAATTTACTATAAATATTTTCTCGAATCTATATTATTTTCTTTCATAAATATTTAATAGAATTATGATATTAAGTAGATTTTAAGAAATATGCATAACTTTTGTTCTTTGATTGTATTAAGTCGTAGATTTTGTATGGACTTTGAACAGATTTAAGCTATCTGTTTAGCAAAACGAAATTCCTAAATGCTTGAATGACGCGCGTAAAATTTTCAAGAACGATGCGTAGACGCACATCTACCCTACAAAATAATTGAATGGGAACATACAACTTTTGGAAAATCATGATCCCCTTAAAAAACTGCTGGGCAGGTTAGGTATTTCTCGCCTCAAATCATGAAAGACAGTTGCTAACCAAAGGTACTGATTTGTGAACATCATCGTTACGAACCAAAAACACTCGTAAGCCGTGCGTTCATTGATGGTACAATTTTTATCGCCATAACAAGGAGTATTCACATGTAAGCAAGGGTCGCAAAGAACCGAGTCACATGTAAGCATGATAGCGCTCTTTGGGACGCTCCGCTCCATCCGCCAGATTAGTCTCTGTGGGCGAACGAACCACCGCCCGGCATTCAGTTGACGGGCTCTCTCCACGGCGCACGCATGATCGCCGGAGCGGATTCGCGGAGCAGCAGCTGATCGTGCGCTTTCATTTTCTGTGTGAAAAGACATTGTGGCTTTGTTCGCGAATCGGCATTATCACGAGTGAGAAGTGTTGACATACATATCTCTGATTTTAGCAACAATATCTTGTGAACTATACTTAATTCTGCCAAAATGCAAACCCAAATGCAATCCCCAATGCAGTACGAGAGTCACATCTCCGATATACCCACCCACAAAATCTACTCCCGCCGCCCAGAAGGTTCGTCTTTTTTTTAGTTTTGTTTTGGATTTTACGATGGGTCTACAGTTCAATTCTCAACCAGTTTGCAAGATAATTTTGTTACTTGGACTTTTGGGGAAAAAAAAACCACTGATCATGACAGTGCACATTGTGAATCAAGTTCTCTGGCGGGTCCCACACTCTAAAACAGCCCACAATGATTGGCGAAAATGTTTGAAACGTTTGTAGATTGCTTTACAGTGAAATCACCAAAAGCCGAACGTGCATTAATTTCAGTTGCTTTGCTAGATTCGCGCATGTGTCGAGTTGAATATTAAGAGACACTTGAATGTCGTTTTGGATATTACCGTACAAGATAACAGTACGAAGGAACTGGTTTTGTGGTGAGAATACAAAACCCGGTTGATAGTTAGTACTTTATAGTGCCCGCTCGAAAGAGTGTACTCGAAACAGTAAATATAGTGTTGGCTTGTTAAGGTTTGATCTTAAAAGCTCTTTATATAAACATGCCAAATTGCTTTAATCTTATCATGATTTGGAACTTATAAAACTTCAATCATAAACTATTCGAAACTTCTGAAAATAAAATGATTTCAAAAATAAATTAAATAATACCATAAACTTCTAGAACTCATTAAAGGCTTTTTCGTATCTCATCGTTTAGCTATCTTAGATATGCATAAACAAAAACGTCATCTCACACTGGGACGATTTCTTTAAAGTGCCATCTTGTATTTTTTTTGCAAATTCATAGCAGATTAGATAATATAATAGAATATATAGCCTAAGCTGATTGGCGATCTATTTGCGATGTATGGGTACAAGGGTTATAGGGCTCAGCTGTAAAGTGTGTGTGTTTATTACTAAAAGTAAGAGGTTTAGTGTTTTTATTTAATTTGTACTTGTACGTATTAAAACATAGTGCCAGTGAAGTTTGATGGTATCTTATATAAATATACTTTAAACAAATTGTTTGAAGATAAAAATGTTTTCATTAGTTCAATTGCAAATAAATTAAAACAATATATCCTAATTGATTTAGTAATAACAAAACTTTCTTGGCTTTTCAGAGGCTGAGATGAACAGCACATCGGAAAGTTGTTCCATCTCGTCATCATGCGGCGGTCGGTTCGGATCGGTGCACTCGACCTTAGATGACCACGATGCTACGGACGACGACATGACCTTCTGCATGTCCAACTACCCCAAGGAGGCCCTGAAGATGATGTTCATGATGCGGTCGCACGGCATGCTGACGGACGTTGTGCTCGAGGTGAAGAAGGAGCTATTTCCTGCCCATAAGGTTGTGCTGTCCGCCGCATCGCCCTATTTCAAGGCCATGTTCACGGGCGGCCTCAAGGAGTCGGAAATGTCGCGCGTCCAGCTCCAGGGGGTAAGTTTAGCTTAAGCGCGACCCTCAATTGGTTGGTTTAATGGATGAACAGTTCGTCCTTTTCGCTCTTTCAGGTGTGTCCCACGGCCATGTCTCGCATCCTGTACTTCATGTACACCGGCCAGATTCGAGTGACTGAGGTGACGGTGTGCCAACTCCTGCCCGCGGCCACCATGTTCCAAGTGCCAAACGTAATCGATGCCTGCTGTGCCTTCCTAGAGCGCCAATTGGACCCCACCAATGCCATTGGTATCGCCAACTTTGCCGAGCAGCACGGCTGTGTGGAACTGCAAAAGAAGGCGAATATTTTTATTGAGCGGAATTTTACCCAGGTAAGTTGTCTTCCCTCGAATCATTTGTAAAAGGTTGCAGCTGTTGAGTTTCTTTAGGTGTGCCAAGAGGAGGAGTTCCTCCAACTTTCAGCCTATCAGTTGATAGCCCTGATCCGCAGAGATGAACTGAATGTGCAGGAGGAGCGAGAGGTCTACAATGCTGTCCTAAAGTGGGTTAAATACGACGAGGACAATCGACACTGCAAAATGGAACATATTCTGGGCGCCGTGCGTTGCCAGTTCCTGACGCCCAACTTTCTCAAGGAGCAGATGAAAAACTGCGATGTTCTGCGAAAGGTGCCCGCTTGCCGGGAGTATTTGGCCAAAATCTTTAAGGACTTAACGCTGCACAAGTGTCCAGGTGTAAAAGAACGGACACCCAACACCACTCGCATGATATTCGTGGCTGGCGGCTTCTTCCGGCATTCATTAGACATTCTGGAGGCCTACAATGTGGACGATAAGACTTGGACGACACTGCCAAATCTGCGAATTCCAAGATCCGGCCTTGGTGCCGCCTTTCTCAAGGGCAAGTTCTACGCGGTTGGAGGCAGAAATAACAACATTGGCTCCTCCTACGACTCGGATTGGGTGGATCGGTATAGTACCGTCAGTGAAACGTGGCGTCCCTGCTCTCCGATGTCCGTGCCCCGCCATCGAGTGGGCGTGGCCGTTATGGACGAGTTAATGTACGCCGTGGGCGGATCTGCGGGCATGGAGTATCACAACACTGTGGAATAGTAAGTAATCTTCCTCAATGAAAAAGGGTATTCGATATTTGTATTCATTTTTTTTTTAATATAATTTTCTTAAGGGCAAAGAAGCACTTTTTTTTGTAGTTTTGAAACTAGTTATTTTAAATTATCTCGCTGTCCTTTATCTTTGATAACTTTTGTGAAGTAAACTTGACAACGAGGGACAAGAAATTTATTTTTCAGACATTTTTAATCTATAACCAAAAAACCCATACAAATCTAGCAATAATACAAATTATTTAACTTTAATTTAATTAAGTACATATAATCTTTTACAGCTACGACCCGGAACTCGATCGCTGGACCCTCGTGCAGCCAATGCACGCTAAACGTTTGGGTGTCGGGGTGGTGGTGGTCAATCGCCTGCTCTATGCCATCGGAGGTTTCGATGGAAATGAGCGTCTGGGTAGCGTGGAGTGCTACCATCCCGAGAACAATGAGTGGAGTTTCCTTCCGCCTTTGCAAACGGGTCGCAGTGGAGCGGGTAAGCATGAATGGCCCTCCTGTTATCTCCACATCGACTATAATACGATTTAATTACAATCAGGTGTGGCTGCAATCAACCAGTACATCTACGTGGTAGGGGGTTTTGATGGAACCCGACAACTAGCTACAGTGGAGCGCTATGATACCGAAAACGATACCTGGGACATGGTGGCGCCAATCCAAATCGCACGTAGTGCTCTCTCGCTGACACCGCTGGACGGAAAGCTGTACGCAATTGGTGGATTTGACGGCAACAATTTCCTGTCCATCGTTGAGGTCTACGATCCGCGAACGAACACCTGGACGAAAGGAACGCCACTAAAATCGGGACGATCTGGCCATGCTTCTGCTGTTATCTATCAGCCAGCTTGCACCACTACGTTAATGGACTTCGAAGAGAGCGAGACACCCCAGACGGATGGAAGTAATGATGGTGGCGCGGATGCAAAAACATCACAAAATCCGTACGGCGGTGGAAGTCCGCATTATCCCGGAATCGCGCCTAACATGCAGTTCCACACCTCATTCGGAATGAGCGGCTGCAAAAATTGTGACTCCGAAGTAGATGTGAAGTCAGAAATTCCGGCAGAAGGACATAATTTTCAAATTCCCGCCATCAATTCGGAGGAGCTTGCCAATCCGAATTGCCCCTGGTCCAAAATGCAGAATAAATTTCGAAGAACTCCACCCTTATCTTTTACGGAAAGGGATGACAAAAAATTAAAGGCTCCACATAAATTCGATAAAGCACGAAAAACATGTTTACTTACCACCGCTGCGAAAGTGATCCACAACCACATTGAAGGTCGTCTCCGAAAACTAACTACAGCCACATGACAATACGAATCCGAGCCTAAAGCTTAGCCACAACCAAAAACATCATTCATTGTACAAAGCCTGTTCGCGTCCCATAGAATTCCATGTTGAGAAGCAGCATTCCATTAAAATCTAGCATCATTTGTATATGTATATTGTGTACGCTAGGTGATATTTAGTCAAACAGTTTTATGGCATCCATAACATTAACTGGCGCTCGTTAGCCCATTTAAAAAAGAGTGATTAGGGTTAATAGTTGATTAGTGAAAGGAAAGTGTCGTTTTTTATGTATTTCGTAGGTCCATACTGATAACTTACGTATTGTACTTTTTTAGAGTAGGTTTATCAAAGGAATTATGTGCATTCATAGTAATTTATAAGAAAACGCAATTAATTTAAGAGAAATTATAATAAAAAAAAACATTTACAAAAATGATGTAATTGGACCGTTGGTACGATTTGTGAATTATTACTTTCATTTGGCTTAGATATAGATATTTACAAACAAAAAAAAGTTATCTTACGTAAGAAAAAAGCAATTAACGATTTAGCCTTGTGACTGAAAAGTAAGACAATATCAGACACCGTGACAAAATCGTTTATTATAATTCAAAGAAATTTTGTATTATTTTTTATTTAACGACTATTGTTGTACTTTGTTCATAAACAAAGGTGTTAACAAGTTGAAGTTTAAAGACTTCTCTGCTTTCGGGGTCTTGGGGGATTAAATGAAACATGTGTGTTGTCGGTTATGGAAACAATGTTTAGTCCACCCATTTGCAGTCCTTTGATAGCCGACTGAAAACACAATAAAATTTGAATTAAGTTTAGTTTTAATAAGAAAAAGAGTATTCATTTGTAAACATACCATTCTTCCAGGGCCAAGACCTCGAACCTTTACTCGCACTGTCTTCCAACCCAGTTCAATGGCTTTCTGAAATTTAATTTCGTTAGGTGGGTCACGGATTTTTTGTTGTTTACTTTATAATCAGTATACTGGTTTAATTTTAAATCAATCATTCGATCTCTAATTTGTTCAATCAAGAATGGTTAACAATTTTAAAACTTCCTAATGAATCAGTGGTATATAATCAAACCAAACAAAATATGCAATCTAATATTATTGTTTAACAGAAAGTCGATTTCCAGTATTTGCAACTACTTAATTTTTAGACATTAATGTTTTTCCAAAGAGTCTTTAAAGTTTTGTCGAACACGGTACGTAAAGTTAACTATGTTTACTATCCCTATTTTGTTAAAACATGGACTATGCTCCTTCATGGTTTTGACTTACTCCACTAATGGTCACAGCAGTAGCTTGAGCAGCAATATTTGTTCCCTTGCGAGTATTTTTAAATCCCTCAATTCCACAGGATCGTATCAGCCGGAGGACACCTGTAAATAGTGGGTGATGGCATTACTAAATATCCAGAGATCCATAAGGAAACTTTCAGGTGTCCAACCTTTGTGATCCGTGACGGAAATAATTGTGTTGTTGGGCGACACGCGAATGTTGCAGATGGGGAGCTCGTTGAAGGGCGTTCCATTGAATAATTGGGTGGCAGTGCTGGCGTCGGGAAAGAACTTGGCCTTGCTGTAGAGGAACACCTAGATTATTAATCGCTTCTTTACATAAATATGAAATATAGCCCACCGGTTGATAAGTGTGTCTATGTCCACGGTCTTTTCGCCCACTGTTCCTTCGTCTTTGGCCGGCAGCGATGCCAGCATTTCCTTTCGATCCTCCGCCTTCCGCCAGCACACCCCTGTGTGTATCCTTGAAGTCTGGAGAGTCACAGCTGGCCGGGAGAAACTCCGGATAACACTTAATAAAGCAGTTTTAAGTGACATTTTAATTTAATTCGCGGACGGTGTACAAAAACCAAATTACATCACACCGCCAGTCTGGCAACTCCGGCAGTGCTGGCTAACACGCCACAACAAGTGACCCGCTTCGTGGTGATTGACAGAGTGAAAGAAGAAGAGTATTTTCACGTGTTCTTGCTTAAAGTTAGTTTTGATTCCCGTTTCCCTCTTCTAAAATGGCTCTGAAAAGGTTGAAGAGTAAGTATTTATTACTTTCATTTACTTAAAATAAATATGCTTATTCATGGCTTTCCCTAGCTAAGAAATCCAAGAGGTTGACCGGCCGCCTGAAGCACAAAATCGAAAAGAAGGTGCGTGACCACAACAAAAAGGAACGTCGCGCTGCCAAGAAGAATCCCAAGAAGGGCAGCAAGAAACAGAAGCTTATCCAGATCCCGAACATATGTCCCTTCAAGGAGGACATTCTCAAGGAGGTGGAGGAGGCAAAGCAACGCCAGGAGGCCGAGCGGCTGGCCCGCCGCGAAGCATTTAAGGTGGAGCGCGAGCAGAGCAAGTTCAAATCACTGGAGACACTGGCCGAAGATGCGGACATGCGGAGCACCGTGCACGGAATAATGCACGAAAATGATGACCTGGATGCGGACGAAAAGAAGTACAAAAATGCCGTCACCAAGGAGCAGTCCTTGAAGCAGTACTTCAAAGAGTTCCGCAAAGTCATAGAAAACGCCGACGTTGTACTGGAGGTGGTGGATGCACGTGATCCCTTGGGAACCCGCTGCAACGAGGTGGAGCGCGCCGTGCGTGGTGCTCCGGGAAACAAGCGCCTGGTCCTGGTGCTCAACAAGGCCGATCTGGTGCCCCGTGAAAACCTAAACAACTGGATCAAATACTTTCGCCGCAGCGGTCCCGTCACCGCCTTCAAAGCCTCCACACAGGATCAGGCCAACCGACTGGGGCGTCGCAAGCTGCGCGAGATGAAGACGGAGAAGGCCATGCAGGGCTCCGTTTGCATTGGCGCCGAATTGCTCATGTCCATGTTGGGCAACTACTGCCGAAACAAGGGCATCAAGACCTCGATTCGTGTGGGCGTCGTGGGCATCCCCAATGTGGGCAAGAGCTCCATCATCAACTCATTGACCCGAGGCAGATCCTGCATGGTGGGCAGCACGCCAGGAGTGACCAAGTAAGTTGAATATCTTTCACGTGCCTTAAGTTGCATATTTTCAATGTTTTACTTATGTAAACTCGATAATTTACACTATTTACCTTAGGTCAATGCAGGAAGTGGAGTTGGATTCGAAAATAAAACTGATCGATTGCCCCGGAATCGTGTTCACCAGTGGAGCTGAGAACTCACATGCTGTTCTAAAAAATGCCCAGCGTGTGGGCGATGTAAAAGATCCCTTCACTATTGCCGAGAGCGTTTTGAAGCGCGCAAGTAAAGATTACTTCTGCACCATGTACGACATTACGAGCTACGACACATTCGAGGAATTCTTCGCCAAAAAGGCAGCCAGAATGGGTAAGTACACCTAAGACTATCAGAAGTAGAGGAGAATTATAAGTTTATTTTAACCACTTCAATAGGAAAATTTCTGAAAAAGGGAGTTCCCGATGTTGTGGCCGCCGCGAGAAGCGTGCTTAACGATTGGAACACAGGCAAAATCAAATACTGCACACAGCCACCGGAAGTTCAGGAAGCCCAGAGTGTGCACATAAGTGCCTCAATAGTACACTCCGAGGCCCGCGAGTTCGATGTGGAAAATTTCGAGTCCATGGAGACAGAGATCCTAGAGCATTGCGCTGTAAAAACTGATGACATTATGGAGATAACGTCTACGGGACCACTGGAGATCAGACAGCCCCGTGAGGAAGAGGATTCGGCTACAAAAGCGGCTGCAAATGTGATTATAAACGAGAAGGAAAAGCCAGTAAAGGGTCGCAAGAGAAAACTGGATGAAGATAAGGAGAAGGTTGATCCCAGTCTGCTTTTGGATGGTATGCAATACTTATTTTTCACCGAGAAATAGTATTTAAGTCGTGTTTTATTTCATTTCCAGAAAATCAATCCCTAAACAAAGGCATCAAACAACTGCAGAAGCAAAAGAAGAAACAAAATGTCCGTAATGAGAAGAAAATCTCCAAAATTACAGACGTTCTGGATAACTTTAGCTTAGGTTCGTCATCTTCAAAGGCAGAAAAATACGATTTTGATAAGGATTATGTGATTGAATAATTTCTGCCTTAGTTTTAATCATTAAATAAATCTGTTGATGATACACTATATATAGAGAAGTGTAATGTCTCTGGAAAAAAATGTAAATGCCACTTTTTTATTTTGGATGATTTTAACCATTACAAGTGAAAACGTATTCAGTATTTCAATTGTTTTTGTAAATATATTGAAATTTTATTACAAGTTTTTAAACTTAACAGTATAACTGCACTGATTAAATATTTGATCATATTGAAGCTATTGTATGTATACATGCCTCTCAACCAGGCTTTTTACGTTGTCGTCTTACATGAGGAGAACTTTTAAAATCAGCCCGGTATCTTTGCTCATAAAGTTTGTTACTACTTTTTAAAGTGCTTTTTTGGAATTAAAATATACATACAATAATCACGTACCTATTTTCTTTATGAATTTACTGAACACGGTCTTCCTTTAACAGTGAGAAAAATGGTAACAATAGTTTTACGTGGATCGCATTTATACTTAGAACGAAATACATACAAGGCTGGGATTCTAGGATGTTTGGTACAAAGGCTAAAGCTCTAGCGCACGGATTTCTACTACTACTCCGAATTCTCGAATTGGCATTTCCAACAGGTGGAAATGCAACTGAAGTTCGGGCTTGTGAAATGTGTATGGACGATAGATGATTTCAGATTTAAATAGAAGTATCCTATGCTGTAAGTATCTTAGTGCGATATATTTTTATACAATTTATATGACGGCTGGTTTTAATTTAAACAATGAACAAATTTCATGACAACGAAAACAGTCAAAATATCAACATAAAACAAATAATGTTCGAAAATGACGTATGCTTTCTTAATGTCAATTCGATCGCTATGCGCTAGAGTCTAAAACCGTATAGAATTTTGTTAATTGTGTTTTCATTTAACCTAGGATCTTATGCAGATTTTACTGAACAGATTTGTATTTCAGTGATGTTTGGTTTCATTTGGGTGGGGTATAAATTATGGGTTTAGGTTCTTTTAAAAACGTCGAATAGAAAAGGTAGTGGCGTTTAAATGTTGTATCATAACTAGACTATCTGCCATTCTCGAAACTGTTAGCCCTGATGTGCCTTCTGTTTAGTATGTATGTATATATAAGTTAAATATTTATACATATCATATATAGCTAATGGCAATGGAGCTCTAGCCCCACGCGTCGGTACATACTACATGTGTATATATAGAGTGAATCACAGGATATTAATTTTTTCTATGTATGTTTAACAATCAATTACTATGTATTTCAATCCAACTCGTCCGACTCCTCGACTTCTCTCACTTAATGCGACTCGGATGCATTAAAATTAATTTCGATGTGTCTACTAGCAGTAATTGAAACTTGTTTCGTAATTATGTATATTAACATTTAAAATGATTTCTTTTGCAGTCCTTTGTTGTTCCAAATTATTGGTTGTTTATTGGTTAACTGGCGGCTCGCTCTCCTGCCCGCCAGGCACCTCCATCTCGTCCTCGACGCAGGATTCGTCAGGGCGCACACGTGTCTGCACAGCCTGGTCAGCAGCTTTTGCGCCTTCCGCAGCAGTTGAGGCGACTGCCGATGTCCTTCCCGCCGGCAGCTGCTCATCTGGTAACCCAAATGCTCGACGTGGTGCTGGGATGCCGGATGAGGTCCTGCCGAAAGCGCCAGCAGCACGTACTGTCACCGCAGATGGCTAAAGTGCACCTCCAGCCAACAGGGGCAGCCCATGATGTCCTGTCTTTTGTAGGCGGGCCCCCACCCCTTCACGAAGCTGATCTTTATGCTGAAGTAGTCGACGGGTCCCATGTGGTGATGTCCTTGCTGTTTCATGCTTAGCAGTTGAGCCCTGTTTAAATAAAACAAAAAAAAACAATTCTTTAAATATAAATTGTAAAATTCACTTTTAATTTATTTCATATGCACTATTTACTAAAGTTCAATTTTAAAATTTTTAAAAAATTTAAGAAAATCAATTCAAGTTTATTTTTGTGTGTAAATTACAATTAAAAAAATTATTATCAAATTTGGAGAATTTCGAAATTCAATAAAATAATTAAGAGCCAAACGACTTTTCTTTTCTATAAGTTCTTTTTGGCATTTAAAAAACAAAAAAGTCTTGTATATAAGCAATAGTCTGCAATCGAATTGAAAGAGTGTTCTAACCTGTTTGTTTCAAAGGCCTTTAGGCAGATGCCGGGCATCACTTTGCACACACGGTCCAGATTTTCGGCCAGGGTGGGTGAATCCACAAACACAGGTGTGTTTCCGCGGTTGTATATCCAAACATCGCCGCCTTCTAGGCTCAATGTCACCCCTGCCATTCATAGTCCGGTTAAAATTTGCTTCAAAGATAAAAGGCCGATCTTCTTACCCAATCCGACCTTCTGTCGCGTAGTTTGCACCAGCTCCGAGTAGACCTGTTTGCCTGCGGGAGTAAGGTCACGTAGGCACATGCTGTCCCCTTCACTGCCCACGATCCCATCCGTGTAGATATTGACTGCTTTCGTTCTGGCGTGAAAGAACTCCCCGACTCGGTCGGCCATCTCCCAGTAGGCGATTTGGCACCAGGCCTTGCCATTGATGTTATAATCTGAAATACACAAGAAAAAAGGATATATATATACATATATTTAATTATAATTTAAAGAGTCTAAGCCGTTATAACAATGAATAAACAAAAATATACATTACACCCAGAATTTTCCAATATAAAAATATTTTGGAAGTTATTTTGGTGGAAATAAAAAGATTTCATGTCGATAATTACATACTTAGAACACCTAATAAATTGTATATATTCAAAGCATATTTTTCACACATTACAGGGCGCCTAATCAAATGCTTAAAGATTACGATGTCAAGTTAACATGCTAACTTATAAGCCAGATAGGGGACTAATTAAATTCTTTAATATGCCTGCGATAAAGTTATTCCCATCAATAACTATTATTCAAATCGCAATCTTGTAACCCGCATACAAATTGTAAGTTAAGGCGGTAATAACTCTTTCGTCGCCCAATAAAAAGTGATTTGAAATTGCCATAACATTCAAGCTGGGGCGAGATCGGGGGTGTAAGCTCTCGCTTTATCGTTTGAAAATGAAGAAAGAACGAAGAGACGTCGGCGAATTCAGCGAGTCGCACATTCAAACAAGCAAACAAGCGCATACACATTACGTTTTCACTCACTTGTGTGCTCAGACATTTAAATGGTAATAATTTTGGCGCCAGGGCATTACGTAAACAGACCGGTGTCGCGTATGTGTGTGGATTCATTCGCGCATATATCGGCCTGAGTGGCTGTATATGTATATGGTAAGCAAACCCACAGAGTCTGTTTATGGGTTCATTTGTATATTCCGTTTCCGAACGCGTGTCGGGCCAATAACAAAGTGAGAAACAAGTGCAACTCTTTATGTGATATCCTTGCTAACGAGAGTATCCGAGTGTGTGGGCTTTTGAGTACAAATTATTTAATATTTATGGCCACATTAAACCATTCATAAATTTAAAAATTTATATTTAATTAAAAGAATATAGGTATAAAGGCATGGAAATACCAATGAATATCTCGAAACATTTCTGAATTAGTAAACAAAATGTGCTGAATTTAAATGTTAAAGTCGTAAAATCTAACAATATCAACATTACGTATACGCCACCGAAGTCATATTTTATCCAAGGCATATGTATTTGTTAATACCAATTTCAGATGACACCATTGTCAGCATAAACACACCCTCGTCTTGGGAATTTATCAATCAACAATGGCAAAAACAGCATTCTGAGACAATACAGTGCAAACATCGCGCATACGCCATGGCGGCCAAATTGCCAATTGCAACAATGCCAGCGGGTCGATAGTCGATTGCTGCAGTTGGCCAAAACGGCGAGAGCCAATTCGAGAAATGTGCGCGCTTTGGCGGCACACACAAAACACAATCGCTCAGCTCAGGGAAAATCGCAGGGAAAACGGCCAACAATGGCCAGCACGCGCTCGCCGAGAATAAATCGGAACGAAAAGGCCGAAAGGCGCAAAGGCCAAGCCCAGGCGAACGGCAGTGGCGCCAAGTAAAAATATATCGCAATAAATCCGTAGACGGCTTTTAAAATTTTGCATGGCAAAGAATGTGCCGAATGCGGGGGCAGCGGGGGCGTTGGACGCTGCAAGTGGCGCCTGTCCGATGTTTACCTAATTAGGTCGACGCCGGCGATTCCGTCGCGTCTCGCCATGGCCACGAAAAATTGTTTACCCCACCAGGCTGGCGTCGCGCTCAACTGAGCGAGAAGTTGATCCGAGCGAAAGGTGATTTGGAAAATTGGGGAATCAAATTGCCCCATTTGCGCAAACTCAAACATGTCGAAATTGAATATTTACTTTGGAATTTATTTGCTTTCCTCCGAGTACTTTCATTTTTTGTGTAATTTATTTGTGTTTCTGGTATTTAACTTAAAAAAAACATCGTATTTGATTCGGTGATAGGCAATATCAATTATAATTCCTTGGGATAGTTGTCTTTGGGCCGTTTTTATTATAAAATAAACACTTCGATATTTTTGAGTTCTTAGGATTCTTAGTTAGTTGTTCATTCTTTGTTAAAATATCACAAAAATTAGTTTATACAAGAGCTTTGTATTGCGAGTGATTCTTTGTAAAATAAATACATTATAATTTTCTTTTCCCATATACCATTTTGGAAGATCTGTGGCCTTTGGGATTAGGTGGCAAATGACTGGGAATATTTGGAAAATTTGTAAAACGGTTGCCATTAATGAAAGTTTCTGCCTAGGAGTTCTATCTACTGCACTTTTTTCCTGTATTACACATTACAATGAATATCTAAATAAATAAATTCGTAGCGCCGCTTCGTGGCTGTTGATTCCCCTTGCTAATATTTATGTAAGTAGGTACATTAATGTACATACATTTGTGTTAGATGCCCGAATCCACGGGCTGCTACATCATCTTTAAATTTAGAATATTTAATCTTCAATCTGTGTGCATGTGTGGGTCGAAGCAGTGGCCTGTAAGTTTGTTGGTGGCACACATGTGGTGCCTTCGGGAAACGCGGATGTTCGTCTTGTGTTTGCTCCATGTTGGAGTGCAAACGGCGACAAAGTTGCATTAAGACAATTAGGTAGTTCGAATCGATAGCTAAGGCAATAGGAAAAAAGGTATAGTTAAGCGATGGGCCTGAACCTTGAGTTTGAAAACAAAGACAACTAGAAATTAACAAAATAATAATGGGTTTGCATTAAATAATGCATTTTAAAAACAAACGCAATGATAATTCTTATCACTGACGAATTACAAGAAATTAAGTGAAAGGAATATTGCCAGCCTTATTAACACATTCCGAGTTCCAAGAATATGCTAACTATGGGCATTTGTCGAAACTCTGATGGGAATCAATCAATTTGGAATTTCAATCTATTTTTAACAGGCCTGTCACCCAATCGTCGTAAAGCCGCAACTTAACGGTCCATTTAAATGTAATAGTTTTCCGTCGTTTTGTCGCCAGTACAATGCCATAAAAAAGCCAAATACACGATGGTGTGTGTGAGTTCTGGCCAGTTTCATGGTGTTGTCCCAATCGCCGGGTAATGGTAATGCCGTGAATGATATCATAGCGGCCGTAGGACCCATAGCCGTACCCCTTTCGGCCCCCTTCGGAACACTCTTGTAAGTTAGCGCTAAGATTGTGGCGCCATCGAGAGCGCCAACTCACCTCACTCCTCGCTCTCCGCACTCTCATTCGCTCAGTATACCGCCGACCGTGTTTGTTTTTCGCTCATTATTTATTTTCATTTCGTTTTTGCTGTTTTCGCTTAAAAGTTAATATCAATATAGAAAGTGACGACCTGACGCGGCAAGCTGGCGCCACGATACAACAACAAATGGTACGCGAGAGAGAGCGTCCGCTCACACACACTCACTAAATCTTAGGGTCCAACACACTTGCATTGCAAAATAATGGCAACAGTTCTCCCACACTGGAAAAAAAATTCCCTCACTACAATATTAAAATGAATTAACATATGTTATATTGACATCATATAATTTTAAATATATTATTTGGCATTTGTTAACATAAGACAGATTTTCTTATCTTCGTTTTATATAAAAAATTAGTTTTTTAAATGGAAATAGCAAACACAGCACTCATATTCATTATTTTTAAAGCCTTACAAAAATGATTCCAAATAACCGTTTTTAAATTTTTAATCTCTTTAGAATTGGTTTTTGTTAAAAAATTATATGTAAAATCATGGCATATCATATACATTTTTTCTTTATGTGCACTCTCGCAATTGTCTGATATGCGGGGGAGCTTAAACAGAGAGGGGTATTGGGCGTAAAACTCACCTTTTCCATCAGTGGTGAAAGACTCGAAGAGAGGCGGCTTGAAGATGCTCGAAATGCTGCTGCTCTGCGCACTCCACGTGCTCAGCGCTGCCGACTTTGCATCGTTCTGCGAGTCTTCTTCGGAATCTGCAAAAATCGGGGAGGATAAGTATCACTGGATCGAAACTCTATATGGTATAGCCGGTTACCTGCATCTCTCAGTCTCAGCATTTTTGAGCGTTGGTATGGCGGCGGTTGTGCTTCTGAAATGGTACAATAATGTATGGTTTTGCTTTAGATATCTTGAAGATACATATTTGATGGGATAATTGCAACTATAGGTTTCCACATTTGTTTACCTAAAAAGTTAATAATATTCCATATCCTTTAATTCCACTTAAATAGTAATTTATATATTATTTCATATCAGAATATAGAAGTTAACAAACCAATACTTCTTAGCTTTTTAAAGTTTGTTGGATATATTTAATCTCAGTTTAAAAGCGTACTGATATAAATTTGTAAAATGTATAATTTTCAAGGCCATTTGCGTTATATAAAACACAATCAAGTCAGGTAACACAATTTGTGCAATTAAAGGCCCGGTAAGCAAAGGGACTTGGGTGATTACAAATAATTTCGAGTTTATCAAAAGTTCGAGTTATAAATGCGCGTCTTCTAGTCGGGGCGCATATAGGATGAGATCATGGTTCGCAAAACTAATACATACTAGTGCTCGAATATTTGAGCAGCAAATCAAAGCGAAACAAAAACAGAGAGAGCAACAAAGCCAAACAAAAACAAAGGCCACAACAAGAAGAAAAGAAAAGGCAGGCGAATCAAACCCAGGCGTAAGCGTAAGCAAGCCAAACATCAGCGCGGCGATATAAAAATAAATAATCTTTGCATATCAGGCAGCAGCACTGGGGGACATTTTATTGGCGCACAAATCGTTTGATGTGCGGCGATCTCCGCTGGCGCTGTGATTAATCTCGCTTACATTCTACTCCGTTTTCATTCTCTCATTTCACTCCCAAAAAAGCAAACGGAACAGGTCGCATTTGGTGGCGGAGATTCGGGCAAACAAAAGCCTCAATGAATTTACCTGCCAAATCCAAAGATATTTCTCATTCAATTCAATAAACTCAATAATTTATTAAACGTCGCATTAATATTTAATAGATTGCATTAAAGTAATACTTTAAGCTAAAAGGCTGTCGGACAAGAGGGCTATAAATTTTGAAATATAAAAAATATAGTTATGTCTGTTTTTATACATAAGTTTTTCGCGGATTTTAAGGTTTACCCAAGAGATAGTTGTACTGTGCCCTACCATAGTTCGATTAATTACTATTTTCATTTATGTGCCATCATAAAGATGTCAAAGATAAAAATGGCTCGGCCTATGTAAAAAAACTAGATCTTAAGGTTTTGCATGTAAATAGCGTTGATGAAAACAAAGCAATAGCAATGATTATAAGGACCCAAAAGTATCCACCAAAGTGCAGCAGGCAAGAAACAGGGATAGACAATCAGTGGTAGTGCTCTTGGTATTGTGACGGCGCTTAAATCGCTTGATCTGCCTCGTCAACGGCGCCCGGCGACTCGACTCGACTCAAAGATACTCAGATACCCGGCCCCAAGCCCCAATGTACCAGTTAAACCTGATTACGAGCGGCCGCGTCATCGACGCCAACGACGAAAATATAACAATTCTTAAAAAAAAATAAAAACACGATCGCCGCAGCGAAACCGAAACTGAAACCTAAGGGGAGGCCAACCATTCCAGCACGCCGTCAACAAACTGATGGATGGATCGTATGACCAGTCGGCGAAATAGGCAACTGAGTATTCACGGTGCTGCGTTCTGGCAAAAGAGTACGAGTCTATTGAGTCAGATTCCAGTAATTGTAATTTAAGCATGGCAATTCCACCCAGTGTTTATGGTTTAATTTATGCCATTTAGGCCAAGCACCAGATTCTGTCTCTGATTTAAAATTTATTATAAGTGTAAATTAACAGATATTCAAATGTTTTTCTTAGATCATTATTATTTAATGTATACATAAATATAAACCCACCTGACATAATGGCTTAAGAAAGAGTACAAAATCAACTTTGATGTTTCAAGCATACAACGTAATTAGTCAAGTTCCCCTCAGTTCCATTGAATAGGCCCAAAACAATTTCGGCCCAGCGCAAATATGCCTTCATAAATATGTAGCTGCAGTCGATCCACAGGAACACAGCAAAACCCTCAACCGTAGAGGCCGAAAGCAAAGCTTTATGGCCAACGGCGGTCGGGCAAGAACCGCACCTCTGAATGGGATCGGATGGATGGGGCTGAGGCACGCAAAATGATCCTTTTTATGGGTGCTCGCTGCGACGAAGGGACGTTGGGGCCGCAATGTCCAAAGACTAGCACCAGTGTGCGGACCACTCGTCGTTACAATTCCTGGAATTGTGTTCCCCGGCCGATGCGGATGGAATAACATTATCGACTTGTTTAATGTGTTCGGCGCCATCATTAAAAAACCAGTCACTGTCGGGACGTCCATCCGCCGGCCAGACGATGACACAGCCAGCAGAAGGCATCCAGAAAGCAGAAAGCGGTCAGAACAGAGCCAGCCTGCTGCTAATGCTGCCGCTGCCGCTGCTGCTGCTGCTGCTGCCTGAGCCTTTTGCCAGTTGCCTGTTGCACAGGTAAGTGGCACAGGTAAGCGACCAGCCAGGGAGGCTGTATCTGTATCTGTATCTGCGGACCGGCACGAACAGAGTCTTCATGTTTCCCAAAAGATTGTGTTTTGTGCACAGGAATGTCGGTATAGACATGCCTTTTCTCCATCACATCTACAGTGATTATCGGTTAAGGGGTCCTCGGAAATCGCTGGCAAAAAATGTGATCTTAATCTTGGTCGCTATTACGTTAAACATCGCCAAGTAAATGTATGCAATTTCCTAATTAATTTGTACGCAATCTTATAATCTCTAATTAAAGGTTTATTTCCCTATTTTTTTTTTTTTTTTTAGCGCACATAGACATTTTATTAAGGTAGTTTTCTTTTGATGAGTAATTTAATCAAATTTTAAGTACACCTATTTCATTTATTAATGTCATTTTCTGGTATCACCAGAAAGTATAATTTTGATGATAAGGATTCCCAGTCACCAATCTATTTCATACATTTGTGTGTGTTTTAACAGTATCACCGGTATTTATTTACCCATGAGGTTAACATTTTAAATGTTGTTCAGGAAGAACAAGTTAGGGGAATTGAGTGTCTGGGTTTTCTAGCACACTTAAACTAAGTAGTATTTTTTAGAATTTGATAGTAAAACTCCTATAGATTTTAGTGGAAACCCTCTGATTTCCTGTCTGCACATGGCGTTTCAAGTAGGCTTTTTTGTTACACTTTGAGGTTAGCCAATCTGCCCGAAAAAAATGACTCTTATTGATGAAAACAACTCACACCCATACGCCCACAGATGATGTATTACATGCATGCAGTTAAGTGCTGATATAATAGTCCGATTAGATTAATACCAGAACGTCGATCCATGTGCCCATACAGTTGTAAGCTCGGCCGAGTGATACGCATGTTCTAGATAACGTTCATTGTGCCCAGTAGAACTGTTGGCCGGGGAAATGGGTTATAAATAAATCGCACTCATCATCAACCGTGATGAAGAGTTAGTTCTACGATGAAATTGCATCTGCATTCGACAAATGCAAATGGTTTATCTACGTATTTTTATACGACAGCAAAGTGTGTGCATGCGCGTGCTAAAAATAAAAGCAAACAAATCGGAAAGCGCACATGTATGTACATTTAATGTACATATGTACATGCACAAGCTCCGATGTTTGCCCGAATGTACATAGTGCGAATGGGATATCTAAACGATGCGCCAACTAGCTGGTGGCGACGGATATGCCGCGGCCCCAGCTACAGTCAAAACCGCATAAGACGAATCTTTAGCCATTCAAAACCCATCTTCTTGGTCTGAGCTTCAAACTCTTACAAAGTGTTTTTTTTTTTAAATACAAATCTTAAACTTTTAAATTACTACAACATCTCATTATTTATTCCAATTTCGGTTGGCCAAGAAGTAGGCATTGGGTTTAAATAGTACTCGAGTTTGAAACCTTAACTTGAATTTCGTAGTAAAAATATATAAATGGTACTAATAATTAAGTCTTATTTTTCTGTGCGTATTTTTTTTATTTTTTATTTTTAAAAACTCCACAAGCTTGTGTGGCGCTATAGTTCGAGTTAAGCGAGCTGGTCTGTATTTCGAATGTTTCGAGTACTCGGACGAGTACGGGTAATGGGTATGGGCAATGGGTAACGGACTCCGCCGCCTGACTTTGCTTTAGCTTTAGCTTTTGCGTTTGCGTTGGCGACGACGCCTGATTATTTCCTGGCGCCAGTTTCTAAATTTACGCAAATTATTTTGAAAAGAATTTAGTCGCCGTCATGTTGGGCCGACCGTTTGCGTGGCGCTTTCACGCACATTCTCCGCCGCTCTCTCTGCTCCCCCACGTGTGTATGTGTTATTGTTTGTGTGTGCAGGCCATGATAAAGCGGAATAAATGAGCCGGAGAGCGGTGGAATCGGTGGGTGTGTAAGTGTTGTTGCGGTGTCTGTGTCTGGGCAAAAGTCAAGGCGGCGGCGCACAGTGTGCATACACAGAAAGAAATTGATATGATGATCAAAAACTTCCATTCGATATACATACAGCTGCGGTCATAATGCGCTTAAAAACATACCGTTATGGCATAGCAAAACTTTTAATACCTAAACAAAATTAGGTTTAAAAAACTTTTAATACGGTTTTAGATTTTCAAGGAAAATTAAAAGTTTTTATAATTGATGCTTACGTTTAGTTAACAATGAACAAAATAAGATAAATCTTAATCTTTTAATATTGTTTTAGATATTCAAATTTATTATTAAATTTACTTTTCACAATTTTGTAGATAATAATTTTAAACATATTTAAGAAAATAAACAAAACTCATAGTTCATCTGGCCTTTGTGTTGAAATAAAAATATTTGTAAATTTTCATCTATTTTTAACATTAAAAAACTAAACTTAACTAAATTTTTGTATATCAATATTTTTGTAAAATATTTTAAAATATTATATCTATGATAAATGCGGATTTTTATGTGTCCCATTTAGTTTATAGTTAGCTTTATGAACATAAAAAATATGTCAAAGGTGGTTTCAAAACTAGTTTTGATTGCTATTTCCATAGAAAAATAAAACTACTATTTTCATGACCCCAGCTGGACATAGCTAACAAAATGAACAATCCATTTTAATATTAGAATATTAAAATTTTACATACATTCATATTTAATTTGGAATTTGAACATGGTCTTTTGGTACGTGCTGAAATGTAGAATCAATCTTCATCACATTTCAAATCGATACAAAATTTTGAATACATATCTTTGCCCGATTCCTGCTCATTTCGATTTAATATCAACCTGTTTCTTTTTTTCTGTGCAGGAACTTGAAATTTAGTCTTCTGCGGGAGCAGTTTAATGCCTAACACAGGTACAGACCGGTTGCACCTTGTCTCAGGCTCTTTTGGCTTTGCTTCTGCTCTCCAGGCCAAAAACACTCACTCATAAGTACAAAATACCCACACCAATGCAGAGTGCAACCCATGCTCGCTTGCGAAAAAAATAAAATTGGCGAGCGGCGGCATTTTCGTATGGATTTCGCATGCCGCAGCGCTAGTGAACTAGTGTGAGTGTCTGTCTGTGTGCCCTGGCGCCACCAACTACATGTACACCACTCACCAAGTGCACTTGTGTGCGTCTGAGTGTTTGCGCCTACAGTGGTGGGCACAAGTATTGGCACAGCTGGCGCTTAGATTGTCATTACCTTTTCCCCTGTCATAAAGATTTGGATAAGGTACGAATTTATTGCGGGGGAAACCAATTGCAAATGATTTCGTTCGATCCAAGTCCAGTAAATAAACACACAACTCTCCATTTTCGATTACAAAACTTTTAAAATTGAAGTTTTCCGAGAAACCCACCGATAATTTTATTTATTTAAATTGGCTCACAATGACGACCATTGTCTAGCTTTTTAAATTTTTTGTATTTGCGTTTTTAAATTATTAAATGGGATGTTCGGTGAATATCAATACCGTAAGCCCCCAGAACTATACAAATTTTAAAATTTTTAAATCAATAAGTGTCATGGCTAAGCGAAACCGGCACTTGAAATGGAGATGGTAATAAAGATTAAATATGGTAAAAAAAGTAATAAACCATTAAACCATAGTTCTATATTTATTTTGTTAAAAAATCGTAAAAAGCCTTTGCCAAAAAGATGTGTACTTTTCTAGGCAAAGAATATTAAAATATGTACGTAGGTCCCTTGATCCCTACCTGTCTCGGGCTGATGCAGGATGCGGAACCAGTGCAGCGGATTGCAGCAATTGTAGACGCAGTCGCGTGCAGCGGGGCAGGCGGGTAGTCGCTTGAGCTCCTCGCCGCTCCTCAATCCTGGCCAGAAGAACAGCCGGCTGGCGGTCACATGCTGTTCCCGATCCGCTGGCGTCGTACAGTGGATCAGAATGCACTGCAGGTAGGTGGGTGCGGAGGAGGCGGTTGTGGTAACGGCATCTCGATGGGTCCTCGTCGGCGGATCCAAGCGACTCTTGACCGCTAGTTGGAGCTCCGCCATCTGCTTGCGCTTCAGCAGTTTCATTAGCGCATCGAAATCCTTGCGTCTCGAACTCTGCGTTTGGTTTTGAGGATGATGGACGGCTCGGGTCGTTGTGACTGCAAACGTGGGTGTGGATCCGCTGGTTGACTCTGTGGTGCCGCCGCAGCACTTCCGTAACATGGTCGCAAAGGTGGTGGCACTGAACATCCGGCGATCCACCTGCTGAACCTGCCCCCGAACCCGATCCCGATGATGATCCTGATCCTGATCGCTTCCGTCGATCAACATATCGTCGCAGGAGCTTGCGCAACTGCATCCAGGAGCGGTATAGCAGCGGTCGGACGCTGACGGAGGCGCCAACAGATCCTTGTGATTTGGCAGTCGGCGGTATGGGTGGCTGTTGTTGTTGTTTTGCACCTGAGTCATATTCCGGCAGTAGGAGTCGGAGCCGGAGCCTGAGCAGTCCATGGCGCAGGACATCGAGCTGTAGGGCGGCGGCGGCGTCTGGCGCATTGTCGTGGAATCTTCCTCGCAGGAGTAGCCAGAGCAGGGAGGCGCTGGATGAGGGCGGGGTCGATGTGGAGGGGGCGGCGGCCGTGGTGGCTGCACGGGCGGTGCAGCTGGCACCCCATCGCACGGACCCGGGTTGTTTCTGGACGCATAACGCCATAGTTCTTTCTTCGTTTCTCTTGGGAATAGCATGGAGGGACATACAGTTTTGCGGTAACATCGATCCTATTGTATGCGCATTATTTGTAGTTGACTAACTTGGTTCGCGGACTCGACAGGACCGGCTAGTCACGGTAGTTTACTTTGTTTCTCTTCGGTTATACGGGTGGGTCTGGGAACTTGAGTTTCTCGTGGGGAGCGGGGACTTGGGAACACGTTTAACTGTTTTATACTCCTCGTATCACTTGTTGGCTTTGATATGCTTTCGACGGGTTTGATATGTATTGTCCAGTGGTGTGCACTCTGCAATAAAAGAGAAGTATGTTGATTAGTCACTGGCCTTATTGGTCTTCCCAGCATCGTTAAGAGCACTCGTGTTTATGCTTAGCAAAGGTAGGGTTCAAATGAATGCTAGCTTTGTGAAAGCCTGTTCATTATACAAAGAACTAAATCAATTGGAAACAAAAAAATACATTTAAAATGTAAGCATTTCCTGTCAAAAGAATTTTTTTTAATAAAGTGGAATCGGCCTTACGGGCAGATAATGAAATTACATAAATTGTTCTGAATAATACTGTTACTGTTCTGTAACTTATTAGAATTACTCTATATTTTCTAATAATAATTTTGACATCCCAGAATGTACAAAAAACTAAATGACCAAAATTAAAAGTTCTACCAAATTTGTAATTTTCATTGAGAAGAATAAGAAAGTGTTTTTGAATAGTCCGATCCTTTTGAAGTTTTTATAAAAGGTTTGAAAATACGCAATTCAAGGTTTCTTTTTTGTGTTGGATAAACTGTAACCTGAAAATTGTGGGTGCTAATAAATTTAAGGCTACGATTTTTTCCATTTTCAGATTTCCGTCAAAAGAAGTTTTTTGTGTTGCGTGTAAGTCCCCTTCTTCGCTTTCCAGACTACGCCCTTGGTGGCAAGGAATCTGCCCGCGGATCGCTTGAGTGAGTAATACCCCCGCTCCACGCCCCCACACCCCTTACACCGACGGACAGGCGGCGCCAATGCATATGCAAAAGATCTGTGCGGCAGCATCAGCTGTCGGTAGAAAAGAGACGGTGAGTGGTGGGGGCAAGAGACAGTGGTGGCGTGTGGAAGGGGGACCGAGCGGGGAGCGCCGCAAATTAACAGCCCAAATGTGTCCGTGTGTGTGGCCCATGCGAGCATTTCCATTTTGTTGCTGGCATTTCTTGCGCTCCTCTTATCGACGACAAAAGTGGCGCCGCCGGCATGACGGCAACAACAAAAACAACAACGGCACCAGCACCAGCGAACAGCAACAAAATTACGAGTCAGTCAGCCCCACAAACACGCTCTCCAACACACTCGCTCACTCACATACACACACACGCTTACAGAATGCTTGCGTGCAGAGTAAAAAAAAAGGCAGGGCGGCGGGCGTGCGAGCGAGACGGAAGCGCCTGGCGCCACTGACGTAATAAAAGAAATAATAGTAACGATGTCGGCGGCAGAGGCGTCGTCGGAATGGCGCCACACCAATATAAGCTCAACATCAGACAGACACGGACGAGCGACGGTCGGTTTGTCAGCCGGTTTGACAAGTTGAAGAATCAACAATTTAAGGTTGAGGTGAGTATGGAATAATCTACCGTAGAGAAGAGAGCCTCCGAGCGAGAGAATCCACCGCCATGTGTTAGTGTGTGGTGGGAATCGGAAATGGAATCTAAAAAACTCAGAAAGTCGGGAACTTTGAGTTTTAGAAGCTCTCAAAAAACTTTCTTGATTCCCCTAATACAAGTCTGGTAAACATAATATATTTAAGTTTCCGAGAATTTTTAAAAGTTTTACTTAATCAGAACCGAAATCTTTTATTAGAAATCTTACAGTTACCAAAAAAAAAAAACAAAATCAATATATGTACCTACGTAAAAGTCTTTGTACATATGTATGTACTCGATCAGAACCAAAACCTTGCAATAAAAAAAATGACAATACCCAATCAACAGAAAGAAATGCTATACAAACATACATAAGTACGTACATGTATGGTAAAATCAAAACCCGGATGAAAATGTAGTGTTTTTGAAGGTTTTCAAAAGACCTACAATAAAAAATTAAGAGTTTTAAAGTTCTTAAAAGTCAATATTTTGGGATGTACATAAATCCACAACCGCGCAGTCCAAGACAAACAGTTTGAACGCCAATTATTATATATTTAACGAGCAGATGGCTATATGCATTCTTTTTTCATTAGTATTTAAAATATAGCTTTCTGCAAATTCGCATTTACAGATTTAAGCATTATATAGTTATACATTTGCTGATAATGAAAGCATGACTAATTTAAAATTCGATTGGAAACAGTCGGTAGATAAAGCTAACGCTTTGGTAACAGATACTTGCACCTTGATTAGGAGATATGTATTAAATAAAATAAAATTTATGAGGGGAACTTTAAAAACTAGCAAAGTTGATAACAATTGAATTGACTTGTACAGCACATTCTATAACAATATGATCGTATAAAAGAATACAAGCATATTTCGCAATTTCAATTTATAATTCGTCCTTTAAATTGAAAAATAAAGCAAAAAACGACAAAGCAATGTGAATTTAATATTACTTTTGAATCAAAATAATAAAAAAAATAAGAGAATTACAAAAACTTATCTGCAAACCGGCATTTTTACCAAACTCAAACTACCAAACATTTGCTTGCCTAAGCCATTTTAGTTTAATCACGAGCTTACCCCTTTAAAAATTACCGAAACTTAGAATTAGAAAAGTTGAAAATGAGTACTTACTGTTTCAAGTATATTTTACAAGCGGTATCCGTTTTATCCTTTTGTTTAATAGTAATAATTATAGATGATATGTGTTATGTGTATTTGATATGTTAAGAAGTTCACTTTATAATTTCTATTTTACATTAACTGTAGAAGAAACAAATTATTAAAAATGCACAACGAAATTTAATTGGGTAAACACGTGCCGACGGGTTTTTGTTATTGGATTGGTAACCGCAGTTGCCTTTTTCTCTTTTTTGTTGGTCAGTCACTTTTTGCTATGCATATGTACGTTTGTGCGGATTTAATAAGGTGCGAGTAATGTGTTGATTTCGGTTGAATATTATGTTGAAGTAGCCGAAAAACAATAACAATTCAACGTGGTGGAAAAGCTGTTTTTTGTTGGCTTGCGATTTGCGCTCTGCTTCGATTCTGCAGGCGTTGCTGCCGCAGCTATATACATATACGTATGTTTGTTTGTGTGGCTGAGTGCAGGTACAATGTGTGTACGTGGCTGGCGAACAATTGCATTTCTTTTCTTTTCGGTTATTTGCCTTGCCCAGTTAAAGTTTGAATACACTCACATATGGATTTATTATTTGCCCGGCCTTTCCCTTGATTCTTATTGATTTTATATTTGCGCAAGCACTCGTGAACAATCTCTAATTGAGATCGAAGATCCGTTATCCGAAGGAAAAGCCGGGCGCTGAATTCTCCCTCTTTCTTCGCACACAAACACACACATATGCATAGAATTCATAACAGCAAAAAAAAAAGATTTTTCGCCTGACGATTTCCAATCCCCTTCGATTTTCACTTCAAAAGATTCGCCCGCACTCACACTTTTTCTATTTCCTCCTTCACTTTTCAGTTCTGAAGCGTACAACAACTCCCACTGCACTTGTTTGTTGTTTACGCCCGCGTTTACAACAAAAAACCCGTAGCCGTAGCGCAAAAAACGGAAAAGACGACAAAGTCCGAGTTTCCTGCACTGCGTAGCGTTGTCATTCGTTTAGCCCAAAAATCGCTTAGCGGCTCCGACCACTAGTATCATTAATTCGGAATATTTCTCGTGGCAATACGTCAAGTATCCATCTTTTTGTTGATATCTTTCGGATTTTCGAACGGCGAACGAAAACACAAGCGGCGCGGTTGAAAAATTGTGGGGCAATGAGCGGAGCGCTGCGCACGAAACTATATGGATTGCCAGTCTGTGGAGCTGTGGGGAATTAACTTGAGCGTTGGGTTTACCAACATGCTCTTAATAGGTGAAGAGAGCGAACGCAACAAGAGACGGATTGAGAGCGGGAGAGTCATGCTCTATTTAAGCGATATCTATTGACAGGATAAATGGAACTAAGCCTCTATAAAATCCTACATAGTTTTCCTCTACAAAATGTTAAACATTAAAAGAATGTTTTAAAAAAAAAGAATTCATCGCGACGATTCTTCAGAGTATTGACATCCCTACTTCGAGCGAGCACCAAAGAATCCGCACTGAGCGGAGAGCAATCCGTTGGATGCCGTGGTGAATTTGACGCCTCTCCCGCACACAGATACAACCTGCGCACGCACACCCACTCGCTCTCACTGTCTCTCTACTTCCTAGCTGGCAGTGCCGGTGGATTTAGTGTTGGCAAGCGCGCGGTAATTTTCAAACTATTAAATTTGATAAGCAATATTAGTTGGTAAAACTAAATAATTCGTAGTTTATTAACATTATACCAGAGATTTTTAAAAAATTGTACGTTTAAGATTGGATTTAGCCAGCAGATATTAAAATAAAAACAATTAAAAAAGCATGTTTTTAAAAACTATTTTAAATATATTTTAAATTCAACGTCCTGACCTCGAGCCGGCTAACAATTAATATACTTTGGAAAGGTCGCCAAAACCAACTATATGAGAATTCAATTTGCTTTTTTTTTTTTCGAAAATTACTTGTTGAAGAAACGCTAAATTTTAAGAAAAAAAGTGCCGAATTTTTGAAAAAAACATACAAAATGTCTAAAAATAACAGACCTCAGTCGAGTACCTTACAATAAATAAATACGTCGGTTTATGTTGCTAAAAAAACGCAACTCCCTCGATGCACTCGAGAGCGGAAAACTTGAGGAAGCAACATCGACATTTAGCGCGGTCTTCGTTGCCGCAAAATGTGATGAATGGTTGTGATCAAGGGCATATCAGTTGCAATTGCCTTGCCCATGTCTGCCCAAACATACTGACAATCACACACCCAAACGAACTGGCGCCCCTGCAGCGTGCCTACACACACAAACTTACTGAAAACGCGCAGCAAGGATCGAGTCACACACTGAGAAAAATCAGTAATGATTACTATATCGAAGCCAAAATATTTAAACTAGCTTTGAGTTTGTAAAATACAAAATCTAGCAGATATTTTATGATTTTTAAGTTTGCTTAGTTTTAGAGTTTTAGGTTACAGGGAAGTTAAAGTTATTAATATGTGATCAAATTATATTTTTTGATCTTGTGAGCGAAACATTTTGTTTCAGATGGAGTTGAAAGCATTGTTAGTTCTTGGTCCATCTTTGATTATCTACACATGTCCCATAAAGGAAATCTGAATACAAAAAATGATAGCCTAATTTCTCTCAGTGCCGAGCAGACGCTCCAGCAGAAACCCAGGGTTCGTCAGTTCCAGCAAAAATACATAATTGTCTCTCGTTTGGACGACTCGAAAACACAAAAGCAAATAGGCTCCCGTCATTACGATAATAACAGGTCGGGAACAGGGAACACAGGCCACTTGTGGAGTGGAACCGGCAACCGACGATGCCGATGTTGGCAGGAGGAATTTGATCGCGTCGTGAGCGTTAAATAAGCGAGAGTCGGGCCCCTGGCTTGTCGAGGGGTATTACCTCAGGAAAGGACAGCAGGAGTTTGAATACATTATTTTCTTATGAAGCAGAAGACATTCCGCAAATGCTAAACAAATAATAAGACAGCAAGCCGGGTCGTCCCATTAAGCATCTTATTTTGAGAGGTTCAATTATTTTGCAAATGTTTTGTTTTTTTTTTTAACTTGTCCCTTAGAAAATCAAAATACGAACTAAGATAAAATCAATATGCAAAAAGTCATATCTCTGCTATTTAATTTGGCCATATATATTATTATTCACATTTAAAGAAATTCTTTTCATTAATGTTTAATAATCAGAATAATTATGAATAACATATTATAGTGTACTTAGAAAATGGTTTGAATAACTTCAAATTGACGCTGATTGTGGATTGGTGATCTAATTATTCCACCATATATAGACATAAGTAAACATTTTGATTACACGGCTAAAGTTTAAATCTCATTCGCTTTTCCATTATTTTACTGATGTTGTAGCATCAATTTACACCTGCCTATCACAGAAATATACCTGTATAATACTGACGTCATCTTAATATGAACAAATGCACAATGTTGATTATCATAAATATGCATATTGTGTGTGGGAAGGGGTATGGTATATGGTTTCAGTGATATAGTAGATGGTCATCTATGAAATCTTAACTCGCTCGGCTTTTTACGCGTTGGCATGTTGGAAAAGTATCGGGTTTCTGATTCGGTCTTTTTAAATGCCGACAAACACTGTGGAATTCGGTCCATTTAGAATGTTTTCCTAATTCGCTATCTGAAGAATTCTCAGAAGTTAGGTGGCTGCTAGCCAAAAATAATCTCGAAATAGCAGTTGATCTAAAAAAAAGTTCAGCCCTTTTGCTACTGCATTTTAAAAATTTCCCACATTCTTGTCAGATGAAGTTAATAAGCTGTAATTGTACTTGATCTCTGTCCTTTCTGTTATGTCTGAATGATTGTCCAGTTGACAGGGACCCACTTGGGTGGTCATTCATCCTTGAGAACTCTTCACTCGCATTCTGTGTGAATCTGCTGCAATCCGCTATCAGCAGCAGACTTCCTCTGAAACCCTGAAGCTGACGAAATTCCTGGCAGAGCTGAAAACCAGTTTAGCATCGTTCCATCATCTTCTTATCCTGGGCAATTCTTTGAGATTTGTTTGCCCCTTAACGAGTTCCTGCCTTTTTTTATTCATTGATATTCCCGCTGTCGCACTTCTACCCCCGGTTTTAAGTTTCATAAGCTAATTTTCGAGAGTTCATTCAAAGAAGATAAATCTGAGTAGCGTGTGTCCCTTAAAGTTGGAAGAATTTGTTTGGCCTTTGGGCTCTAAAAAGTCAAATCGACTTATCTGTTTGATTTGATCAGCGGTGTTTGCTTATAAAATATAACAGTCTCAAAACTTTTTACTTAAGAGATTATTTCTACTATTTTAATAATTTATTTTTGTGTAAAATTTGTCTATAATTTCTAAATTATAATTTATAATTATATTGTTTTTAGTTCAAAGAGATTCACATTAACTAAGATTTTCTAACTTTTTAAATTTTTTTTCCGGTATTATTGTTAATTCAAAAAGCACTAAGATATTATTAAACTAGTTCATAAAATTGGTTTTAGAGCACTTTATATTTATTTGTATAATATTTTTTAATTGTTCAGTTTGGCTTATAAAATATAAGTTCATTTTCATTTTAGCAAACACTCACAACTATTTTTAAGCCCAAACTTATAAATTCGATTTACAGACAACAACTTATCCTTGGAAGAAGTTAACTAATGTTGCTTATTTTATAAATATTTTTAAAAAATATAACAAACTTCACTTTATTTATTTATATCTTTGACTAATAGATCCGAGGGTCATCGGCGGCTTACCTCCTGGATTTTTGTGCATATTCTGATTTCTTTGTAACTGTCTGTGGTTCCTTTTAAAAGTTTGTTTTGGATGGCGCGCGTTTACATTTAACCGACGCGATTCGAGCGAACGTGTCTTGTGGCACATTTCTAAGCCAACTAAGCGCCGGCGGTAGCAGGATTCGTGCTTTTATAGGCGAGGACTCGGGTCCACGGGTATGGTGCGCACTGGGGACTCCTGCGCCGTCCGGCACGGAAGACTCATTGGACAAGGCGCCGTCGCCGCCGCCGTCTGAAACTGAATCGAGCTTACGAGTCCTTCTTGGACGCCGACGCCACTCGTCCTGCTCCTGCGTCCTTCTGACTCATTGGCAGTCCCTCGCCAGCCATTCATGCACCAAACTGGCACTTGTATGCAGATGTACATTTGTCGCTGTGGATATTCGAGTTTATTGTCTTTGCCATCCTTTTTTGTGGCGGGCACATTAGATGTTTTGGTTTTTGTTTGTTTTGGTTTCTGGCTACCGGATCCAGCGACAAATTGGGAAAGGAGTTCTTTCATGTTTTCAAATATTTCTATAATTGCATATTTTTTCATTCATTTTATATAATTACAATAGTTGGTTAAGAAATATAATTTTATATGAATTAAAGAAGAAATGAAATTACACTAAAACTAACTAAAAGCTTAAGAAAAAATGAGCTTCTCATAAGCCGAAATTAATTACGACCTTAGCAATCGAGTCATTGCTTATCTTGAATAATACATAAGCATAACCATTATTAATAGAATAAGAAATCCTATTTAATTGGAAGAAATTGAGGGACTGCAAAAAACACAACGAAGTAAGTACATAAATTTTTAGTTGGCGTCACTAGGCGGTCTGGTCTAGTCGCACTGGTGTCTAAGCTGAAACCTATCTGCGCGCCATTTCGTTTTTCAAATGTTGGCTGCCAGCGGCGGCGACGATGGCGACTGGCGGCCCAAGTTGGTCTAAACCGCACAGTGAGCCCTAGACGCAGACACTCCGATGGGAAAGTGTGCACGACCCCGTCGACCCATTGGCAAGCAGAAGAGAAATCAAAACATCGACACTCATTAACCGGCAATTAAGTGGTTAAATTGTATGTAACGAGGTCAAAACCTGAGTAAGTTGGATATGAGTGGCATGACTTTAGTTTAGTAAATCGTCAAATAAGTTTTTTATCTTTTGTTAATATTCAATCGTTAATTTAACACACACAATTAAGTTAGATAGGCTTAGGAATCACATTAATTTACTTATTAAATTAAATACTTAAACCATTCGTATGAGGATCTTATAAACATAATATTAATCATACGACATGTAATCTAAATCGAATGTTAATGAACCAAGTATTGTTTATGTCACTACAAAATAAAAAATATTCCCTGTAAAATGACAAATTATTCAAAATGAAGCTAAATCAACACTTGTTAGTCAAAGAAGTG